TTCTATGCTAACACATATAGATAACTGTTCTGATGAATATAATACTTCTTTTATATTTCTATTATTTCTTATAACTCCTAATTATCATATACGAAAATAATATAACTCAAATATGTATATAAAGGCTCCAATTTCATCTAGAAATTGGCAGGCTTGAACTTATATTTTATTGAATAAATATCTTGATCTTTACAAAACAAATCACTATTGCCTCTTTCGCCTAACCTCATACACTTCAGAACTGTACTAATTTGTACGCCTCTAGGAACTTTAGCATAACACATTGGCCCTGTCCATCTAAAGTGCCTCCCTGCTACTAGTTCTCCGTCTATATCTTTTTCCTAAGGTAGAAACGATATATGACAATATATTTATTAAATCATAAAGAACCATTACATGCATGAGAATACATGCAAAGTACAAATTTTCTTAACCCAGCTTACTCATCTTAAGCTTAAGCCTCTAGATGCAATTTATGGGAGTAATACGTTGCTAGCCTAATAATTAGGATTAAGATCCAATTGTACTATAAGGATTACAGCTTACAGATCATCTCTACAGTCATAACCATAAACCCAAATTGTGTTGTCTCTCTTTTGCAGAAACTATGCAAGGGACAAGGGATAAAAAAAAGGAATAAGGATAGAAAAAACAGTACAAATGTGTACAAATAAAACAATATATAAAAAAAGAATAAAATCTATTATCTATTCTATCTATCATTAAAATGGTATCTCAGTGGACAAAATCCAGACCCCTCATAAATACTTACTTGTCATCACCTGTGGTCAGTTAAACTGTTTAATTTCCATCGAAGTGGGTAATATCCAAAAATATTTAAGGGCACTTCCTAGAAAGTATTTCTTGAAACTTTATGCTTAAAGACATCTGACCAGAAAGGATGTTGATTTTCTATTGTAGATTTTTCTTCCAAGCCATGTTTTTCTGGAATTATTGCTTCGCTCAACCAGTGGGTAGTTTCAAGACTCCTTTTTCCAATCATTTTTGGGATAGATATTGATACTTCAACTTGTTGCCAGATTAGAATAGGATTTGAATCTTATGTTTACTCCCAATCCTCTAGGTAGAATAGGGAAAGAAAAGGAGCAAATAAAAGAGAAGAACAAAAAAGGAGATCGTTCCTTCTCCACTCACAACTTCAACCTTCAACCAAAACTCCCTTGTTACTTCTTTGACTAGAAAACTATTCAACTTTTTCTGGAACCAATCACATCATAAATTTTGATGTTATGTGACTTGAAACACATGGAAAAACATGTCTTGTTTACTTTTTCTATGGCTGACGTGATCAACCAATCCGTGACCTTGACCAATCATCTTGCAGGAAAGTCTGGTATAACCAAAAATTTAAGGTCAAACTAAGATAGATAAAATTCTCCAGAAAAACCAGAAAAAGAAAACATGCTTGAGAAAAAAGAAGTGTGAAGTCAGAGAGATGATATAAAGATTAGAGTCATTTTTTTCATTATTTCTCTAGGCTTTTGAACCTTCTGGGGATCTTTGGAGAGTACTTTTTCTTATCAGTTTTCTTCCTAGAAAGGTGTTCTTGCTATAAACCTTTTGGATATGTTTCTTGTATTTAATCGCAAAAATATGCAAAAAGGTGTTTGAAAAAGAAAAAGAAAACAAGTGGTAGTTGCTGCTCGCTCTGCTGGTTAGGCAATCAGTGTTGTTAAAGAAAGTATATAGACTTTATTATCAAAAAGATATAAAATCTTTTAAGAACATCTGTTTTTTGGATTGATAAATGAATTAGCAAAAAAAGTTTTTATGTCTTTTAATTATTGTTTAAATATAATAGTTATTGTTTAATAATAATAATAATATAATTTTGTTTTGTTATAATTTTAATAATTGATATAATATAATTGTTTTTTTAATTTTTTTCAATAAGTAATAAATATATAATAAGATAGTTATTTAATTATAATATTACTTACTGTTAATAAAAAAACTATATAGAACCTAATTACAATATATAATATAATATAACATATACCTTAAATTTAATAAGCAATAATCAAATTTATATAAAATTGTAATGCAATAACAGAGATTTAAAATATATTTTTTATTATCTCAAATAATTTATTTGTTAATAATTTATTTTTTTAAATAGTTTTTTAATATTTCAATATAAATAAAATAATAATAATAAAAAACTCTTTCTGCAAAATCTCAAAATTTTCAAAAATTACCTTTTTTGATAATTTTGAGAAAGCTCCCAAGAAACACATTATCTTTATCTGTTAAAGCACACAACACTATAACTAAATACAAACAACTGTTCAGAAAAGCAAAACTTCTTGTTGGTTCATTTGTTACTAACAATTTCTTGCTTGTTCCTCTTCTCTTTTCCAAGGCAAATTTCATAGCAGGAAAAAGAAGACACAAGCAATACAATTCACAGTAAACTCAAAGAAAAGTCAGCATCAACCCTCCTAGCTTCTAGCCAGTCATGTATAAGGTTCTGCACCTCCCTAGACATCAGAAGGATCGTTGCTGACCAGATTTCATCCAATAAATCAGGCAATCTAGGCACCAGACAAAAAACAAGGGGACACCAGACTTTTCAAAAGGGAGTCCAGGAGAAGGACTCCAAACAATAAACACAATCAATATCAACATTTCTAAGTTATGCGACAAATTTTTCTGATCAAGGAAAAAAATCAAATTTAGTTTACCTCCAACAAGTAATTGGCATCACCATTACGTCAAATAAATTAAACACATAAACACGTCCAGCATCAAAACAAACATGTCAATAATATAGTCATACCACAACCACAATCACATCATCAAACCAACATATCATCAAACCAAACATGTCAACAGCATAATTACGAAATATATCAACAATAACAATTCCAACATGTCAACAATAACAACTCCAATATATCAACCACATTAACGTGTCAACATATAAACGTAACATGTCCAAAGCAAACCAACAAAAACACGTGTTCAGTTTTATCTTATATCTAAACAATGACTTAACCAGACCACGTCATGATCCTGGGCAGCAAAAACCTAATTCCAACAACAATACCTCACATAAATGTCAACAGTAACAACAATTTATTATTAGATATTATTCTTGTAATAGAATCTGATACCATATATCTGTTATCTATCAAAATAAGAATCAAGAAGTCACTTTAACTGACCCATCCAAATCAACAACAATTCCCTTGCTCAGCAATTACCCAACAAAGTGGCTCATCCCCACCACAAATATCACCAAACCAGAGTCCTCAAATTTATCAATATTCCAGATTGAGTTTATAGTTTCGAAGGACTATGGAAGCATGTCAACACAAGTATCAGTTCTTAAAGAAAAACCTCTCCAAATCCTAGACGAATTCTTGAACTTTTAAAACTCACTTCAAAAAATCTTTGCAAATAACAACCAGCTCAGAAATAAGATACTTCAAAAAGTACTGGCGAAAGGTTGGAACTATTCAAAGCACATATCCTGGAACATGATTCAAATAAATAAAAACACATAAAAAAAAGCAAAAACATTCACCCTCACAACATCTTACCAACTGGGAAAAACAAATCAGCCACTTACTTTACAGACTTCACCTCCTGATAAAATAGATCCATCTCCCAAGACTGTTAACAAGCTGACTGATCAACCAGATCCAAGAACAACCACCAATCAAAAACATCAACCAAATAAAACTCCTAACCAATCAGAACCCAGCTGCCATACAGAAAATGGCCAACCAGAAATGCCAAATATAACAACCAATCAATTACATCCATTAGAACAAGATCTACATAAAGATAATCAATCAATGTCCATCGATC